CAGGAGGATCATGTGTTCAAGACCAGCCTGGGAAACTTAGTAAAGCCATGTCTCAGTGGGTAAAGGTGCTTGCCAATGAGCCCGATGACTCGAATTCAATTTACCGGACTTACATGGCAGAGAGAGCCAACTTCTGAGCACTACGGCACAGGAATGTGTGTATGCACATATTCACATATAGATAAATACATAAATATAACTTTAAAAAAGTAAAGAAGGCAAGGAAAAGAAAGAAGAGAGAATGAGAGAGAACAGGGAACAGCACATTCGTAGGGCACTTGCATGCATGAAGGTCTAAGTTCAGTCCCAATAATATCAGTAGCACACATGTGTGATGAAGACACAACAGTGACAAGATAAACAGGGCTCCTAGGTCCACTGAGCCTTTCTGGAAGAAATGAATGAGATAATAATGAAGAAGCATTCATTCTTCTCTCATTCTGTCTTTAAAGATATTTTTAATTAAAAAATATTTAATTTTACTTATTTGTTTTGTTTTTGTTTTTGAGACATGGCTCCCCTGTGTAACCACCCTGGCTATCCTGGAATTAGCTCTGTAGACCAGACTGGCCTCGAACTCACAGAAATCTGCCTGTCTCTGCTTCCTAAGTGTTGGTATTGAAGGCATGTACTGCCATCACATGGCTGAGATTTATTTACTTTTTATTCTAGGTGTGCATTTTGTCTTCATGTCTATATATATGTACGCCACATGCATACAATAACTGAGGTAGGAAAAAAAGAGCTTCAGATCCCCCTGGAATTGGAGTTATGGATGGTTGTGAGCCACCATACAGGTGCTGGGAACCAAACCCATGTCCTCTACAAGAGCAGAAAGTCATCATTACAAGGATATGTGTCACTAGCTGATTCTGTCTGTTCCAACATCCCAGAATAGATGTCTATGCAGAAGAGGACTTCCTGTTCCTAGTACCCTGCCAACTCCTAACCACCATGCTGCCAACTCCTAACCACCATGCTCCCACCTCCCACTTCCTCTTTCAGCCATCTAGACATAGTTTATCTGTACACAGTCCATAGACTACGAGGGTTACTATGTCATTAGGTGGCATTATCTCATGGACCCACGGTGGCATAGGTGGTCCATTATTAACCAAACTGCACCATATGGTTGGTGGCTATCATTGGAATGTAAATCGATGGTGCACTCCTGGGAACGGGGAGGGCTGTGTAGCTAATTTTTCGTTTTGTTTTGTTTACTCTTTTTATTCTTTGTTCTTTCCACCATTCAGCTTCCAAATAACCACCTTATCCTTTTTCATGAATGTCCGGCCTTAGTGTTGCTTGTTTCTAGCCAGTGTTTTGTAACTTAAATTATCCCATCTACCTTTTGCCTCTAGGCTTTTACCTTTCTCTATTCTATATTCCTTTCTTTCCTTCTTACTTCATGGCTGGTTATGTGGCTGGGTGACTGGCCCCTGACATCCTCCTCTCTTCCTATTCTTGCTCTTCCCCTTCTACTCTTCTTCTCTTCCTATTTATTTTCTCTGCCTGGCAGCCTTGCTTATCCTTTCTCTCTCCTGCCTTGCTATTGGATGTTCAACTCTTTATTAGACTAATCAGGTGTTTTAGACAGGCAAAGTAACACAGCTTCACAGAATTAAACAAATGCAACACAAAAGAATGTAGAACATCTTTGCATTATTAAACAAATATTCCACAGCATAAATGAATATAACATAAATATCTAAACCTACAAAAATCAGGACTTCTGTTTAGTGCAAAGTGTGTTTTTCTCCACCCCCACAGTTTGCTGAAACAGTCTGAGGAGACTACTGGAAGCCTAGAATGTAGCACACCCTCTCAATTTGTGGGCAGGAAAACTAGACTGAGTAGAGTGGGGTGGGAGGTGGAAGCAGGTTGTAGGGGTGAGTGAGAGGAGCCACTGTTGTTCTCATAGGTTATAACAAGGCCAGAGTGAGGATTCTTAGTGTCTTAGACTTTTATTCCATTTTCTTTTCTTCCTTTATTTATTTATTTATTGAGTCACAGTTTCTTTGTATAGCCCTGGGTGACCCAGAACTTACTCTGTAGACCAGGCTGACCTCAAACACACAGAGACCTGCCTGTCTCTGCCCCAAGTGCTGGGATTAAAGGTGTATGACGTTGCCCAGCTTCTTCTTTCAAGACAGGGTTTCTCTCCATAGCCTTGACTGTCTTGGCACTCAGGATAGACTCAAACTCTAGGATCTGCCTGCCTCTGCCTCCCGAGTGCTGGGATAAAAGGCAAGTGCCATTACCCCTGGCTCTCCTTTTCTTTTAAGATAAGGTCTCATTAAGTAACCCAGGCTAGCCTAGAACTCATGATCCTGTCTCAGCCTTCTGAGTGCTGGCACCACAAATCCCTGATTGGAGTTCTGGTTCCGAATCACTAAGTAGAATACTCAACCATCCAGGGTTTACAGATCAGCAACAGCAAAATTGGTTCTGGGGCATTAACTTAGCAAACCAGTTTCCTAATGTCTCTTTGAGGCCTCTAGCTCACCCCACTTGGATAGGCCAGTTGGAAGACAGAAATGAGAAATTTCTGTATCTTGTAATAGCCAGATCCCTTTCCCTTCTGTGGAATGTGGGCAAAGTGGGCAGGCTACTTTGGTTGGCATTTCTGCACTTCCTGATACTGGCTTTTGAGCTCTTGGCTTGCATGGCCAGTCTCAGACAAGATCAGTATGGCTTCAAAACTTCAGCACTTAGCCGGGCAGGCGTTGGTGACACACACCTTTAATCCCAGCACTCCGGAGGCAGAGGCAGGATCTCTGTCTGTTCGAGACCAGCCTGGTCTACAGAGTTACAGGACAGCCTCCAAAGCCACAGAGAAATCCTGTCTCGAAAAACCAAACAAACAAACAAACAAACAAAAAACCCTTCAGCACTTATGCATCAAGAAGCAGGGCTTAGTTTGGTGGAAATTGGAAGTGTTGGGGAGGAGATACCCAGGGCTAGGATTTGGCCTCCTATACAGAGTCATTCTCTGAGTGGACATGGCCAACCCCCCAATGCACATACATTTACTGCTGTTTGGGTACACCAAGGAAAGGGTCTTCTAGTTAGCATTAACTATCAGCTGAACATAGCCCAGAGTTATCTGAGAGTCTTAGTTGGGAGAGTGCCCAGAACCGACTGGCCTGTGAGTGTATCCTTGAGGTATTTTCTTAATTGCTAATTAATATAATAGGTCCTAGCCCACTATAGCAATGATAAGAAGGTGAATCTGGGCTGTATAAGAAAACTAGCTGAGGGGATGGAGAGATGGCTCAGCAGTTAAGAAGAGCACTAGCTGCTCTTCCAGGCCATCTAGCCTAGATGTCAGCACCCACTTGACATCTCACAACCATCTGTAAGTTCAGTTTCATGGGTTCTACTGCTGGTTTTCTGACCTCCATGGACATCAGCCACACAAGTAGGCAAAACAACCATACACATAACATGTTAGAAAAACAAAACAAAAACAAAAATGAGCAAGCAAGAAAGCAAGCTGTTGTGGAGGAAGCTTCACCCCAGCCCCTGGCATTCATATTCCCAAAGAGTCTGGAATGTTCTGGTGGAAGTTCCACTAAAGGCCCCTTCCCCTATCTCTCTCCAAACCCTGCTGTATCTCAGAAAGCCTGCCAAGTGATGACCACAGGATATTTAAAGTGTTCCCCAGAAAACAAACGGGTGGTTTACCGGTCTCTTTTTCCTGTCTCCTCTCTAGGGGGCTGGAAAACCATCCAGGGGCTTTTTCTAATTCAGTTTGATTTGGTCTGATTTGGATTGGTGGAGAGGCTTACTCGGGTGCAGAAAATTTTCACTAACCAGTAATGGGAAGGGATATTAATATTTATGGAGTTGCACAAAGAAAACACTCAAACAAAGCAGAAGTGTTAACTGGGCAAAACAATTTCTTTATGTAAAAAGCAGAGTGATGGGCACGCTTTTATCCCAGCACTTGGGAAGCAGAGGCAGGCAGATCATTCTTGTCTACGGAGTGAGTTCCAGGGCAAGCTGGAAAGCTACACAGAGTAACCCTGCCTCGAAAAACAAAAACAAAAAAAGAGTCCCCACCAGGACCGAAACCAGGATAGTAAACACATCGGGACCAGAAGTTCACTTAGCTTTTATTCTAAGGTAGGTGGTGACTGTGTTTCAGCCCATAGGTGCAAGCTGAACTCTCACAACCTCATCTGATTGGCTAATTCATAATCAACGTGAAGGAAAGGGCAGAATGGTCAGCTGCTTTGGGTCATCGAATTCTGGGAATGCAGCAGAGCTTTTGCAAAAACAAAAAGTTTTACTAGGTGGGGAGATGAAAAGATATTAATATTCCTTCGCATGAAAGTTTTACAACGTGTGAGTGGCTTGTTTGGCTAGCCATCTTTGGTTTATAAAAATAAACAAAAGGAAAGAGAAACAAAAAACCATTCTGTCACTATCAAGCAGTGTTCCTCCTTTGGTTTTGGCTCTGCGCTCCTGCCCTGGCTTCCTTGGATGGAGGACTGTAACGTGTAAACTGAAACAAACCCTTTTCTCTCCAAGTGCTTCGGATTGGTGTTTATCACAACAACAGAGAGCAAAGTAGGACACAGAGCATGTCCAATAATAGAACGCGCCCAGCCTCATCTGGACTGACCCACCCAGGGTGGAACAGAACACTGTCCCTTTCTGTCTTTATTGAGTGGTATAGGTGCCCCAGGATGTGGCCTTGAGGATTATCTGAGTTCTTGCTCATCTCTTCCCGTTCTGTCACTGGGTCAATTGAGGAGGCGGACGATGCCTTTCTCCTGGGCGAGAGAAGCCACTTGGGCTAGGACGCAGTTCGGTGCAGGAGCCGAGTGGAGTTAAAACCATGGAGTCGCGCGGCACTACTGAAGCCTAGAGCGACGCTGCGGCTAATCTCTTTCCGCAACCGACTTCCGCCTCCGGCGACAAACAGGAAGTTCCGCGATAGAGCGCCGGTGTCCCTTTTCCGAACTCAGTTTATTGCTGTGGTTGTGCTTTAGGCTTGGTTTACTTGGACTGCGATATGGCCAATGCGGAGGTCGATGCTCCGCTCCCTTCTTCCGTCTCCGTCCTCCGCGGTCCTGGCCCGGACGGCTCCGCGGCTGGAGCCGCCTTGACCTCCCCGGGGCCGGAAGTCCACTTCCGCTCCGCCTGGGCGGCTCCCGGCTTCAGGCCGAGAGTCTTTGCCGAATTGAACGCTCGCACCACCTCCTATCTTTGAACCCTTGAGCAGGTCCCTCTCTGCCAGCCTATTGTGTGTCAGTCAGTGTCTGAGGGCGGCTAGGGGAACCACTGAAAGCTGGGGTGTGGTGGCGCACTCCTGTCATCCAGCTACAAGCCTGAGCTACAAAGCGAGCTCCCAAGCCAACCGAAGCTACTTAGCAAGAGCCTGTCTTAAAAACAAAACAAAAACAAACAAACAAAAACCAAAATAACTATAACTCTGGGTTAGCGAGAGGACTGGCTGGTTGGCTCCTAAAACAGAACTACTGCTAATGCGGACATGGGGCTTGCAGTTGTATTAAGAGATGAGTTTGAGGACAATGTCAAGGAGGGTAAACGAAACGCGATCAAGTGGAACAGGAAAAAGAAAAAAACAAACAAAAAACAAACGTGCTATCTCTCATAAATAACCTTGAAAGCTGGTCTCCTGATAATTTAGAGATTATTTCTAGACGTCAGTGTAGTGATGATATTTGGTAATTAGAACTAGTGAAAAAAGGGTGCTTTCCTAAGTGGGTTCGGGATCTTCACTCAGAAATGTTTTGGCAGGAGGGGAAAACCTGAAAAGTATCTCCCTCTTGACTTCTTGTAAAAGTGACACATTTTAAATAATAATAAATCACACAGATGTACAGTGGAAATATTTCCCTTCTTGATCCTGTGTTCAGAAGCACAGCTAATTTTAAAAAACTTGTTACATACATATGCTAGTGTGTGTTTTTAAGATCCTTAGATGGTTTCTGTATAAACTGATGACATGACCACTCCATGGTATGGTTAAGGGAAGGTTTTTATTGTAGTTATTAGAGAAAAGCCAGGGGTCTCTGGAAGAGTCCAGAGCAAAGAGAGAAAAAAGCAGACTGGACATAGCCTATAGGCTATACATAACCAGGGCTATCTGTGAGAGAGGGAAGAATAGCAGGGAATGGAAAATAGAGAAAAAGAAGCAGAAGCAGAGGAGGGGATGAGAGGGAAAGGGATGGAAGGGGAGGGGAAGGGGGGAGACAGGAAGGGGGAGGAGAGGAGGGGGGAGGAGAGGAGAGGAAGAGCACATATGGAAAATAGCAGTGTCATAAGGATAAGGAGTAGCTGCGGGTGGGAAGCCCATGAGCTGGATGGAGTTTAGGATAAGGGAGCTGATGAGAAGGGCCAGGATGACTCTTTGGTAAGTAGAAAACAGTTTCACAAATTCCTGAGGAATTCTGGCTTTTATCTAACCACAAGCAATCCCTCCATAGTCCAGATTGAGCACATTTTGAATATTTGGACTGATTTTGGGGTTTGGGAAATTGGAGTTTCCCATGGACCTGGCAGTTTTACCTTGTTCATGCCTTGATATGTCATGGGTGACTTAGCACTCTGGGCTTTTCTCTATTCATTACAAGGCTGCACAGTATTCCACTGAATAGTTGACAATACTCTAATCATTTACCAGTTGATGGATACTTAGATTGAACCCGAGAATTTTTTCCCTACAAATTTCATTCAACTTTTCCTTGACTAAATATTTCCTTTTTTAAATCTAAAGCCCTTGTGGTTCTGTGTTATCTTACAACTATATAAAAATGTCTGATCTTAGACACTTTATAAAGACAGGCTCATTAACTGCATAGATTAAGGGCATGGTACTGCTACAGCCTGAGCTTTGGGTGACATTACAGTGATGAAAGAGCTTGTGTGCTGTGGGGTGATCATATGAGGAGACAGGAAAACAGAGACCAGAGAGGCATCAGTTTGCAATTTTATGACCTCATTCTAAAGAACTAGCGCAGACAGGGGGTATGGCTCAGTTGGTAGGGTGCTTATCTAGCACTGAGGAGGAAGTTTTGAACCCCAGCACTTCATAAAGTAGATGGAAAGTAGTATTAACCCTTCCTAAGGGCAACTGCCCACAATGACCTAATTGTCTGCCAGACCTTACCCATTATGCTGTTTTGTTTGTTCATTTTTAAGACTGCCTCGTATAGCCCAGGCTGCCCTGAACTTGTTGTGAAGTGGAGACTGAACTGGATGGAACTTTTGAGCCTCCTGCCCTCAACCTCCTGAGTGTTGGAATTACAGGATATGGCACTCCATCTGGCTAGGGTCTACCTCTTAAAGGTCCCCTCACCTTCTAATATCACTGGGAACCAAGTTTCCAACACATGACCCCTCAGTGCACAAACCACCTTTTATAAAAGATGTGTTTTTTAGGTGGGCATTGGTGGCACACGCCTTTAATCCCAGCACTCGGGAGGTAGTGGCAGGCGGATCTCCGTGATTTCTAGATCAGCCTGGTCTACAAGAGCTAGTTCCAGGACAGCCTCCAAAGCCATAGAGAAACCCTGTCTCTGAAAAACAAAAACAAAACAGATGTATTTTTTATTATTTTTATTTATGTGGGTATGGCAGAAGGAGAGAGAAGGGTCCTATATGTAGTTCACTGACTTTCTACAAGTGCTCTCCTATAACAAACAATAAGTGTAATCTAACAGAGCTACCAGCTCTGCCAGGTTACAAGGCATTCCCACCTTTCCCTCTCATTCTAGACTAGTCACAACTCAGGGAGAAATGTGCCCACTCTGCTGAGCAAGCAAAAGCCCAAATAATAATAACTAGCCTGGGTTCCAAGAATATCTGAGCTACAGGGACTAGAATCACGTCAAGCTCTAGAAGATGGATCAGGGAAACTAGGAACTGGTCCTCTGGCCTCTGAGGGCCAGACAGTGTATGCTCCGGTATGCTCGGGTATGTGTGCGAGCACACACACACACACACACACACACAAACTTTAAAAAAGGTCTAAGACAAAACAAAGCCTGGCCATGGTGGCACACAGCCTTTAATCCCAACACTTGAGAGGCAGAGGCAGGTGTATCTCTGTGAGTTCCAGGTGAGTTTGAGGATAACCAGGGTTGTTACACAGAAAAATCCTGTCTTGAACCCCCCACTGCAAAGAGTTAATGCAGCACAGGTATTGAGTGTTGGTGATTGTGATGGTTAATGTTAATGCCGGCTTGACTGAATCTAGGGTTACCTTGGAGATAGGTCTTTGAGTGTGCCTGTGGGGATTATTTTCATTACCTTAATGGAAGTGGGAAGGCCCACCCTCAGTGGGCAACACCATTTCTGTCTGGGATTCTGGGCAGCATGCATTCATTGCTCTGTTTCTGAAGCCAGCGCTTCAAATTCTTGCAGCCTTGACTTACACACAGTGACGGATGTTCCTTGGACCCATATGGGTCCAAGGAATCGAACTCAGGTTGTCAGACTTGATGGCAAGCCCCTTTGCCTCTGAAACATGACAGCCTCTATGGCAGTAGTTGATTGGTTGACTGATTTTAAACTCTTGCTGTTCCCATCACAAAAGAGCTGGAGAGGGATTAAAACAACCAAGAAAGGCCAAGAAGATGTAAGTGGGCAGGATGTTTTCTCATTTATCTCCTTTTCATCATATCACCTCAGAACTGGCTGACAACGCTCCCTAAAATGAGTGGAGGAAGGACATGAGAGCAAGACTGGATTGATTGAGTGCTTGCCAAGTACAAGAAGCCTTGGGTTCCAGTGGAACAGGATCAAAAGTTCAAGATCAGCATGGAGAATTGGCTCAGAGTTAAGAGAGTTCCCAGCACCCATATCTAGCTGCTCACAACTGCCTGAAACCCTAGCTCCAAAGGATATAATGCTCTCTTCTGGCCTCCTTGGGTGCTCATACGTATTTATGTACCGGTGTCTGCATAGACACACATACACAAATATTTCTTTAAACAATTTTTTTTGTTTTCTTTTTTGTTGTTGTTGTTTTTGTTTTTTGAGACCGGGTTCTCTATTCTGGAACTTGCTCTGTAGACCATGCTGGCCTGGAACTCCCCAGAGATCCACCTGCCTCTGCCTCTCCAGTGCTAGGATTAAAGGTGAGTACCATCACTCCTTGTTTTGATATTAATATTTCTGTCCATGTGCTTTTTTTTTTTTCCTTAACCTGCTGTTAGCATAGTGGGAGGGAGAAATGGATGCAATTTTCTAGCAAGGCCAGGATTCCTAAGCAAGGCATGGTGGCAAAGCTTGAAATCCTGAGCCGTGGTTGTGGTGGTGGTGGCACCTGCCTTTAATTCCAACACTCATCCACAAAGCAAGTTCCAGGACAGCTGGGGCTACACAGAGAAATCCTGTTGTGAAAAACAAAACAAACAAACAATAGCAAAACTCAGCTTGAAATCCCAGCATTGGGAGCTGGGCGGGAGGTTGGAGTTCAAGGCCAGCCTGGGCTTTCCCAGAACCTGGTTATGAACAAAAAAGGTTAGCATTCTTCATTCTTTCCATTTTAAGACTTTTCAGCTCTCATGTGGGTAAACCATTATGAACACATTTCCTCAACTGCCTCTATTGATCCAGCAAGCAGCAAAACAGAAATAGACTTTGCTCTAGGTTTATGACTAAACCTCATTAGGTTTGGGGTACAGATCCAAGAGATCAGGGTGGCTTAGCAGCCTTTGTGGTCTGCTTTTGTTGACCTTGACTTTACTCTGTGCTTGGAATCTCAAATGCACACCTCACCGCCCCCCACCCCCACCCCTGCCCCAGTTCTAGGATGGAAACTGAAGAAATAAGAGCAGTCCAGATGGTCAAATAAGGTCACAGCCAAATGACAAGGTGGCTGAAGAGCCAGAAATCATCCTAATACTGGCTTCCCAGTCCAGGTTCCACCCGAGAGCCTTGATGAAGATTGCCCAGGACCTTGAGATCACGACAATGAAGTCCTCCCATCCCCCATCCTCAGGAAGTTCCACTGTGGTTTTGCAGCTGGGCCCTGGACTGTGCTCAGCCAGCTCCAGTAATATGCTGGACAGTGGTTGAGGCCTGATTGCTGTGCAGAGGAGCAGCCAGTAGGAACGCTGGTGAAAAGGCAGTTTCTAGACTGCCCTGTCCCAGAGCTCAGCGCCCAGGTGGCCAAGTATGGCCTGGAGTCAGTCTCTGATAAATGCTTGTTTCAGCTTGCTCTACCTCTGCTACAGAGAGGTACACCA